GATATCTACTAATGGCCAACGCTGTGGCGGGGGTTTTGCGGACTGGACGGGGGGGCAGTGGGGGGTGGGGCGAGGGGGCGGAATGAGTGCGGCAGCAACGCTTCGCTTGCGTGCTTTCCCCAAGCCAGTCAGCCTTAGTTTGTACTAGCTCGGTGCCACTCAATGCCACAAACCACACCAACCACACCCTGATGGCAACAGTGAACACCCGTCCTGGTTTTCAGAGCCAAGGTTGTCGTTTCGCCCTTCGGCGACACACACGTACATACCCTGTTGGGCTAAAACTTGTGTCCCTCGTCATCAACTCGATTGAAGGTTTCAGAAACAGGGCACCATTGGTTGCGGATCGGCCGAACACTGTGCGGTGTTCCTCCAGTGTAGGAGAAGGCACCACGTGCTCTGCCTCAACAGGTGCGCGTGGTCGACGGCCAACCGGCCGGGGAATGCAACAACAAGAGCACCCCCCCCCACCCCCCCCACCCCCGACTCTTCGTTGTTTGCAGGCGTTTCCATGCGAGCCACGTCCCCTCTGCACCCCCGAGGAGAAACAGCATCTTCCCCCCCTAAAGGATAGCGCCATCGAGGAGGAGGGAGACGAAACCCCGGGCGACGGGGGAGAAGGCGAGGGGGGCAAGACGGTGCGGGAGCTGGCGAGGCTGTGCTACGAAGACCCTTGCCGGGGGTTGCTTGAGGTGACAGGGTGTGCACGGCAGGGAGGCTGGGGGGGAGGCGCGCAAAATGTTTTTTGCTTGCCTTCACCGTCTCTGGAGGTAGTGATGCACGTGCATGCGGGGGCGTCAGGGGCGGTGAGGGGGATGAGGGGGAGAGACTCTTCTTTGATTTTTACGCTTGCAGTGGGTCAGTCCAGCCCCAAGAAACGCGTGGCCCGTGATTGCCTCGATCTCCCCTTTTGACAAAGCCGCAAGCGTAACCCAACCAGGTCGCATCATTGCCGCTGCCCGCCCGGCACCGCCTTCCCCTCCACTCCTTGTAGCCCTCCGACTGTCCCCCCCTCCTCCATTTCCATCGGCCACACGCGCGCGCGCCTTAAACATGCAACGAAAAGATGGCGCTGCTACCGAAGATTGCGAGCGTGATCAAGAGCTACGCGGACCAAGTCGCTGCCGATGGTGCTCAGGCTGCTTCCGACGGCGGTGGCGGCCTTGGGGATAAGGGAAGCTTTCATGGGGCCGCAAGGGCAACGGCGGCAGCGACGGCGGTTTCGTTTCGTCCACGGGCGGCGCTGTCCTGCCTGAGGGTGCTGTGCGCGGTGGCGGGGAGGGCTCCCTGGGCCGCGGAGAGGGTGGCGAGCGAGCCTGGTCTGCTCGACGCCGTTCGGGAGGTGTGTATGCGTTGTTGTGTTGTGTGTATGCACAGAATGTTCACATGCACGTACGTGCGCCCGTGATTTTGTGTGGGGTGAGAGACAGGCGGCGCACCGTTTGCAACCCCTCGTGTTTTGTTTGGCGTCGAAGAGGAGAGTGTATGTGTGTGGTGCACATTTTCGACAGAGTGGGAGACGCTTTGCAAACCGGTCGCGTTGGAGAGATGGTCACCCCAGTCTTTCGGTTGATTGTGCGCGGGTTGCGAGGCTGCGGTTGTATCGCAGGCAGCAAGCGCACGTGCACCCATCACAGTGGTTCATGTGTCAACAGCTTGTGCTCAAGCACCTCTGCTGCCTATGGTGTGACAACTACCGACCACACAGGTTCATACGCGTTGTTCTTTTCCCGGGCGTAGCCTTTTCGACGGTCACTGCGAATGCAGGCATGACGGTTACACACCCCACCCCCCTTTTTCGTGTTACACGCGGGTAAACCTACACCGAGGGTGTGGGTTGTTATGCTCTTTACGGCTGTGTGTGTTTTTTCTCAAACTTCCCCCGATAGCGAGTGCGTTCTGGCGGATACGGAAATAGCTTGGGAAACAAACAGGCCCGTAGCCCTTCGCGCCTTTCAGAGTGGTCTCCTGCTTGAAAAGTGCTCCGCCGTAGGCCATTGCTTCGTCTTCCCTAACGGGGATGTACTGTGGCGACGGATGGCGGACAGTCCTCCACGATTTGAGTCATCGCCGCCGCACTCGATGTCCGCTTCTCCGTCATGCTTGCACTTCGCCGAACCTTGCTAAATACCACCACCACCACCACCACCACCAACAACAACAACACCAACACCAGCAACACCAACACCAACACCGCCATGCTAATCCTGTTGTAACTGCTGTTTCAGGCGTTCTTGGAGCCGAGAGCTGACGGCACGCTCCCGTTGGACCTGTCTGAAACGGCACCTGCAACGGTGACTGCGACGGCGATTCCGAAACAACTCTCACCGCCGCCGCCACAAGAACCAGCAACATCTGCAAGAGCTGAGGGAAAGGCAAGGACGGAAGGGCCACGAGATGCGAACGGGTGCCCGCCGCCGCCACCGCAAGAGCAACTGGCACTGCTGGCCGTTAGGCTGGCGAGGGTCTTGGTGCAGAGCGGACGCGGAGTAGCTCTGGCCCTGTCGCAGACGCCTCTGCTAGGGTCGACGAAAGGGTGAGACCAAATTGTTCTGCGAGCAATTGGTTGCCGTGAAGGACGGGAGTGCTGCCCTTGTGGTTGTTGTTGTTGTTGTTGTTGTTGTTGTTGTTGGTATTGTTGCTGCTGCTGTTGGTGCTGTTCCTGCTTTTGCACACCGTGAGGGCTGGGTGTAAGTTGACCATACCCCGGCAACGAAGAGGTGCATGTAGCGCCAGGTCACACCCCCTGGTTCGCCAATTTCAGTGATTCTTTCCATATACCGCCGTCCGATTTCGCATCGAGAGCCGAAAGACCGTGCTGGTTTTCGCGGCGCGGTGTCTATGGCTTGTCTGCGTGTTGTCCGTGTCTTGTCTCCGCTCTGTGTCCTGCCCTTGCCGTCTCAAACCCGCCCTCAGACAGCCCGACACCCCACACGCTTCGTTGTAACCAGAACCAAAAATGTAAACGTTACCGCAAGCAACCGCAACCCACATTCTCGCCGTCGCCCCCACCCCCACACCTCGATCCTCCCGACAAAATCAAAAGATGGCTTGCGCTGGGACAGGGCTCTCGAAGGCCCCTCCCCGCGCTCGAGGCGGTGCAGCGCGAGGTCCTAGAGCTGTGGCGCTGCTGCCTGTCCTACGGCGTCGACGTCGCCGCCGCGGACACTGTCGTCCTCGTGGCTCGCGGTCAGGGCTGGTGGCCGGGTCTCAGCGGTGGTGTTGGCGCCGCCGCCGCCGCCGCCGCTGCCGCCGCTCCTCTCGTTGCCGATTCCGTCACCGTTGAACGCGGCGGCGGCGGCGGCGGCGGTAGCGGCGGAGGTGTCGGCGAAGAACCCACCGCCGCCGCTCCTGTTGGTGCGGAATCTGTATCTGCTGATAGTGGTGTTGGTGTTGGCGATGGTGTTGGTGGTGTCGGTGCTCAATCATCGTCTGGTGTTGCTCAATCAACGTCTGGTGGTGCTGGCGGTGGGAGCCGTGGCGGCGATTCTTTGCCGCCGAGGCTGGCGTTCTACCGCGCCCTGCACCAGCTCGCGTGCGCGTGCGTCCTCCCGCCCGGAGTCAGCGCCGCCGGCAGGAACAAGAACGACGGTGCCGAGACCGCCGGCGGCGACGGCAAGGCGGGCGCTGGTGCAGCGGGGACGGGGGTACGGAAAGAGGCCGAGGGTTTCTCTGTCGGTGGCGTTGCTGTCGTGCCAGAGTCCTGGGCGGACGTCGGCGACACCGTCGACGCGGCCGTTGAGGGTGCTCTCCTCTGGCTCTTGAGCGGCGTCCGCGGTGGCGGCCGCGTGGGCGGAGGAGGGGCTGCAGAGACGGCTCAGCAGGTGAGCGTGCGCGGTATGTACCACATGGTTTTTGCGGTCGGGTGCATTACTCCGTTGGCTGGTGAATCGTTCTCCGGGTTCGAGGTACTAAGCGACACGCGACAAAGCGTAACTGTCATCCGTGTTTCTTCCTCCCCCCCCCCGTGTTTTTTTTTTGCGGTAACCATAATTGTGGTCGAGTAGATTATGTTGTGCGGGGTCGAGAACCCTCACTCCGCGCAAAGGGGATAATCGCACGTTGTGTTCAATTGGTCAAGCACCCTCGAGGCAGGTTCACAGCGCTTATAACTGTCTCTGGAAGTGAAAGCACCAGAAAATAAATTAAGGCATACGCAGCTGTCATCCGTACGCAAGGAGGTAAGAACAGGATGCCGAACACCCTTAGCAGGATGCAGCGCACCCTTCATGCGACTCACCGAATACCTCACGGCACTTGCGTTTGGTGATGTGAGAGCCTGGTCCGGTGAGAACACGGCGTGCCCCGTCCCGGCTTTGTAGGGATGCGAGGTCAATGGTCTAACGACTACGGCATGCGCAACTATGAGCGACTACGGCATGCACGACTATGAGTACACCCCCCCCCCCCCGTTCCAATCGAAAAAACTCGAACTGGTTGTAATCCGTTCCCGAAACGAACAGGCCGCCGCCGTCCACCTGGTGGCCTGTTGGGTGGAGCGGTACCAAGCCATGTCCCGCACGATCGGGAGGCGTGGGTCCCGCCACCTGGAGTCAACAGCGGAGGACGCGGCCGTGCTGTTTTCGTCTCTCCTGGCCTCCCCCGCCCTGCCGCTACCGGCGGCGGTGGCAGCAACGACGGCGGTGACTCGCAGAGGCGATCAATCCGGCGGCAGCGGCGGCAGCGGCGGCAGCGGCAGCGGAGACGGCTTCAGCCAGAGAGGGGTTAGCAGCGGCGAGGCCGCGGCGGCGGCGGGGCTCGACTGGCTCTCCGGCGTGTTTCGGCTCGGCCTGGCGTGCGAAAGGGCGGTGCCCGGGGAGGCGGCGGCGGCCCTGGCTTCCGCGCCGGAGGCAACGGCCGCGGCCCTCGCGGCCTTCCTCGCCGCCGCCGGTACCGCCGGCGCCGGCGCCGCTGCTGCCGACAGGGCTTCGGCCGCCCCTACCGCTGCTGTCGCGCCACCCCCCGCAACGTTCTTGAGAAGGGTGCGGCGTGCTGAGGCCGGTGCGAGGTGGCTCGGGTGCAGGCTGCTGGCGCTTGGTTGTAGGGGGGGTGGTAGGGAGGGTGGATGGCCGTGGGCGGCGTTGAGGAGGGACTGCGCTCTGCAGGTACGTGCGCGTGAACGTGTGGGTTCGGTAGCTTGATGCACAGCCGGTTATTATGTTTGCGTTCGGTTGCTTGTGCGTTTCCGCTCCGTTCAAGTAGAGTTTTGTTTTTTGTGACTCTCCACAAAGTGAGGTTCTGAGTCCGTCGCCCATTCATTATTTGTTTATTCCGTATAAAGAAAATGAAAAACTTGGGGCAACCGTCGTCAAGATTTCTTTCTGCGAACATGGTGTGCACACCTTTTCCCTTTTCTCGTGTTTTTTGCCAAGCAGTAAGCAACATGCAGTGTGCTCGTTCGGTCTTTTTCAGCAGTTCCAAGGACACTTTGTTTTTCCCCTCGCGGACTTTTGCGGTTGCTGCCGATGTCGCTTTGAATGGTCCGTCCTGCGGGTTGCAGCACCGCCCTCGGTTCTTGGTTCCTCTTTGCGATCCCTCTCTCTCTCTCTCTCTCTCTCTCTCTCTCTCTCTCTCTCTCTCCCTCTCTCTCTCTCTCTCTTCTCGATTTATGGTGTTGTCGCCCGTTCCACAGGCAATGGCGCTCTGCGAGCGCGGCGACGAAGCCATCGCCGTGGGGCTACTGGCGGAGGCTTTGCCTGGCAGTACCGTCGACAGTCCCGAGGAGGAGGGGTCGGAGAGGCCTAGCGACGATCCTGCCGCCGCCGCCGTCGGCACGGCCGCTGCTTCTACGTCGCTTCTGCGAATGGTGACTGAGCATGAAGTTACCAGTTCACCGGGGTGTCTATCCCGAGCTTGCTTTTGCTGTCGTTGTCGTTGTCGATGTCGTGGGCGTTGGTTTGGGTGTAGCTTTGGCCAGACCGCGTTTGGAGAAACGTTCCACGGTTCCGTGACCTCTCAGCCATAGGCCTCGGATTCCACTCAGGTGTTTTCCAGAGCAAGCAGCAAGCAGCAAGCAGCAGTGACAGAACTCAACAAGAAAAGCAGTAATTTGGCATCTGTAACTCGCAAGATGCTTGCCTCTTTGTCACGCCACGTCGCAGCTCTTCCGTGGTGCCATCAGCGACCCGGTGGCCTTGTCTCAATCCTCCTTCCACCTGGACGGGCGGTGGGCATCCCTGCAGAGCCTGAAGGCGTGCACGCCCCCGGGGACGGCCTCCCTCCTTCCCCTGCCCCCGCACTGGCTGTTTCTCCCTCTGGCCAGCCAGGTAATCTTGTTTTCGCCGCACCCGCCGGAGACGGCGCCTGTTGCCGAGGTTTGTCTCTTTTTCTTTCGGGGAGTCTTGTTGTCTCGGGTTCTCTTCCTACCATCTGTGTCTCTCCCTCTCTCTACCCGTCCGGCCGCTTTGCCTTCCCTGTCTTGTGCATCATGATCCCTGCTCGCATAAGAAGCACCATCGTTTTTCCATCATGCCGGTTCCTTGCTCAATATCCACGAACACGCACCACTCCAATGAAACACATTGCGGCAGGGCGGGGAAAAAGCTGCTTCCACGGCCGTGTCGGCTTGCCTCTCTCTGCTGGTCCAACTTGAGCGAGAGGAGAGCGCCTACGTGTGGAGCGGCGGCGGCGGCGGCGGAACCGGTTGCGTTTCGCCCGAGGTGAAGCTGTACCATCTGGCCAACGCGTGCCTGTATGGTGCCTCGGTGCTGTCCGGACTTGGCGTGGTCCAACATTTCGACTGGTTGTTCAGCAGGTATGCGAAAGGCCACTAAGTGAGGGGATGGGGGTTGCGGGGTGTGGGACAGGAGCAACATGAAAGGAAAAGTAGAGCATCGGGAATGAAAGAGGGGGGGGGGGGGGGTGTACTCATAGTCGTGCATGCTGTAGTCGTTAGACCATTGACCTCGCATCCCTACAAAGTCGGGACGGGGCACGCCGGGTTCTCACCGGACCAGGCTCTCACGTCACCAAGCGCGAAGTGCCGTGAGGTATTCGGCGAGTCGCATGAAGGGTGCGCTGCATCCTGCTGAGGGTGTTCGGCATCTTGTGCTTACTTCCTTGCGTACGGATGACAGCTTCGTATGACTTCATTTATTTTCTGGTGCTTTCGCTTCCAGAGACAATTGTAAGCACTGTGTAACTGTCTCGAAGGTGCTTGTCCAATTTAACACGATGTGGTGCGATTATCCCCTTTGCGCGGAGTGTGGGTTCTCCACCCCGCACAACATAATCTGCTCGACCACCATTATGGTTACCGCAAATAAAAAAACCAAAGGAAAAAAAAAAGCGGTATCCTGGTTGCCGAGCTCACGAAGTGATCGGCTTGTTTTACAACATCGCTGCCAAGCGACGAAAACCCAACCCCGATGGCACACACCGGGGGGGGGCGGCTTGTTTTACAACGTCGTTGCCAAGCGACGAAAACCCAACCCCGATGGCAAACATCGGGGGGGGGGGGAGTCTTGTGTTTGGCATGCTTTAGCGGCTCGACAATTGACCACGCGTCCTCGAGAGGACGAAGCATGGTTCCCACAAGACCGATTACCGATGGCCAAGCGTTCCTGACTACTTTGCCAAAGGTGGCTCAAAAAATGTTTTCCCTAGCCTATTGATCCTATCGATGTCACTCCCGGCCTTTTCAACCCACTTCCTATGTCCCGGTACAGCTACCGTCTTCTCCTGGCTATGCTATGTCTCAAGCATCTCCCTTTATTTCCCTTCTACTTTTCCCAGCTCAGTCATGTACACTTCCCTCTCCTTGTAGAACGAACATTCCGCAACAGCATGAACCAGGTTTTTACCTTCGGAGCCGCATTCACATTTAAACTTGTTCGTCTTCATCGTCTTCCTTCCTAAGTCTTCGTCCACGTTCTCGAAGGCCAATGTCCCCGGTCCTAAATTTGACCTTCAGCTTTGTCCCTGCATCCATTGGTCCATGTAGGTACTCCTTGAACCCTATTCCTTCTTTGAGCATTCCGTTCAAATCTAGACCCTCTTTGTCGTTAGTTTCTTTGGTTCGATTCTGCTCTCTCTCTCTCGACAGAAGCAGCAGATATGTTCTCCTTGAACCCCTCTAGACCTTCCAGCGTATCACCAGGAGGAGGGATGCAGAGTAGAGCTTTGTGCATGAAGGGGTAGACAGGTTTTATTCTGCTTGCTGGACCACGAGCAACAGATACGTGACCTTCCTTCTTGGTAGCACATGCGTACGGCAATGTTTCGTTTTGCGGCGAGAATAGAATCGGCGTCCCGCCTCCTGAAATATTGCCGTCACCTGCCATCCCTTGCCCGCTGTTCGAAGGTACCTCGAGCAATGCGGGGCTGGCTTTGAAGGCCGGCTCGCGGAAGTCATCGCCCGCTTGGCCCTCGTGTCTGCTCCAGACCCGGCCAAGATGATCGCCGACGCTGCCACCGCCGCCGCCGCCGCCGGTGGCAGGGACAACAACAACAACGGTAGCAACAGCAGCAGCAGCAGCAGCGCGCGAGATCGAGCGCGCGCGGCTCGAAGGCAGTCGCACGAGGAGCGTGCGCTGCTGGAGTTCGTGAAGGACCTGGTGGCCAGCTTCTTGGCGGACTCGTTCGGTCTCCCTAGCTTCGCCAGGGTCCTGAGGGTATTTTTGAGGACCGGCTTCCCGGCCGCCGCCCGCCGCGTGGTGTGGAAGGAGCTGGGCGACGTCGGCCTCCTGCACCTGCTGGATCCGCCGCCGGCCGGTGCTACCGCTACCGCTCCCGCCACGGACGTTTCTTCCCCTGGCTCTGTCCCGGCTGCCCGTGCTATCAACGGCGGCGGTTGCGTCGCAGACCAGGCTTACCTCTACCCCCCCGACGTCGACGGTGCCATTGTCGAGGCCTACCTGGCGGCTCTGGAACACCCGCGCTTCGGGCCCGCTGCTGCTGTTGTTGTTGCTGCTGCTGCTGCTGCTGCTGCTGCTGCTGCCGCAACAGGCGGGGAGCGGCGCCGGCACGGCCGAGAGGAAGAAACAGAAGGGGGATCGGCGTTGTCAGCTGGGGCAGCGGCAGCAAGGGGGCTGGCTGTTGAAGCGGGGCGAGACGACTCGTCGCCGTCGGCAGCAGCGGCGGGGGGGGGGGCAGTGACGATGCGGGAGATCGCGGTGCACCACTTTGCCTGCTACCTGTTCCCTCGTTCCCCGCATCCTCCTCCTGCTGGTGGTGGTGGTGGTGGTGGTGGTGGTGGTGGTGCTACGGCGCCCGCCGCGCCCTGCCCTCCCGAGTGTTGCAAGGACAACCAGGGCGAGCCGCCGTGGCGGCCGGATTTCGCGCGCCGCAAGATGTTCGAGCGGCTGCTGCGCCAGCACCGAGAAAGTCTCGGACGGGGAACGGGAGAGGCGGGGCCTGAGGTTGCTGGTTCTGTAGCAGCGGCTGTACTCGGCCACCATGGCCTTGGAGACGACAGCCCTGCCGCAGTTGCTGCAGACGGAAACAAAGCAACGGGAGAAAGGCCAGCAATACACGGCGAGGGGGGAGCAAGATGCAGAGAAGGGCGAGCGTGGGTGTCGGAGTTGGGGGAGCGTAGGAGAACGTTGCTTCAGGCTTATTGCCGCGCGAGGAGCGGTGATGGCCGCCGCGCCGTCACGGTTGCCGGGGCCGGCGGTGGTGACGGCGACGGGGGCGGGGGCGGGGGCGGGGGCGGGGGCGGGGGCGTAGACGTTGTGTCGTGGTTGGAGGAGGGGAGACACGTTGAGGATGCCGTGGAGCGCCTTGCGCGTGAGTTTTTCCCTTAGCTGGACAATGGTTGTAGGTTTCATTCCCCCAGGCAGCCGAGGAAGACGTACGTTCTGTTGCCGGCGTTCTATATTGGACAACACGAGCCGAAGAATCGCGGGTTTGAGGGATGTATTGCGCTTCCTGTTTCGGACGGTCTGATGAGCACCGTCTCTTTTGGTGTTCTCCGAAGAAAATACAGTGTCGTTCCCTGATTCAGATGTCTGCCCTCAGACTCACGTGTGTTCATCCCGAGTAGCGCTCGCTCGGTTGCTCGGTCGTGATGAATGGGTGACACACTTGACTTGCTGGTGTTGTTCGGAGTGGGATTGGAGGGGAAGCATCAGGTTGGTGGATACCCCGTGAATTCTGTCCGCGCCCCCCCCCCCCCCGGCTAAAAAAAATACACTACAGTACATACGTATTTGTGTTTTTGTCTTCATCCCTCCAGAGGCCAACCCTGCTGCAAATGGCGTGACGCCCGCTGCTCTCTCTGTCAAATGCTCGGTCGTGATGAATGGGTGACACACTTGACTTGCTGGTGTTGTCCGGAGTGGGATTGGAGGGGAAGCATCAGGTTGGTGGATACCCCGTGAATTCTGTCCGCGCGCCCCCCCCCCCCGGCTAAAAAATATACACTACAGTACACGTATTTGCTTTTTGTCTTCATCCCTCCAGAGGCCAACCCTGCTGCAAATGGCGTGACGCGCGCTGCTCTCTCTGTTTAATGCGTTGCTCGGCCCACTTCTCCTTTAGACTACTATTTACAACAATTTTCTATTCAAGTCACGACTGCTGGGCGATCGGGACCAAACCTCGACGCACAAGGTAGTGGCTGGAATCTTGAGCGTTTCATTTGAGTACCGCACGAGGCGGAGAGGTGGCACCGGTCGGGGAGATAGCACCGGGGCGTGCAAGCATCGCCAAGAAAGACCCGTATGGGCTTATTCAATTTTCGAGTGCTTTTGAGCTGCCGAATTAATTATGGAGGCACAAATACGTGCCTTTTACATGTGGTGACAACATTTCAGCGGAGCCCCATTCTTTTTGTAGATATATAGATACCTAGATACCGTCGTCGAGGTTCCCGTGGGAGGTCGGTTGCTTTTTCTCGGTATGAAAGTTGCAAACCGTACACTTACCCAAGCACGCAACAGCCAAGCCGCAACCTACCCCACCTTGTAAAATCTGTCCGGCTGCTTCGCTGAGTGACTCGAGTACCGTACGAGCGACGGGTATGTTTGTCCTCCGGACGGTCTGGACTCCTCCACACTCCACTCAATCGACTTGGTAGAAGGGCCGGCAAAATCTCGTGTGTGTTCGTTGGTGATCCTCTGTTGTTCCTACTCACTTTCTTCTATATTGTTTGTGTCGGCCGATGGTTGCCATTAGCTTACCGAAGGATCTTCTCATGGTAAATGGGGGACGTTTCAACAATATGCTTTCGTGTGATCTTCAGATAAAAAATGAATGTAGGCCACAGGTAGGTATAGGCGTGTGCTGATTGTACCTTGTTTATTTTCGTTCGAAGGACGGCTATTCTCTGGTTGATCGTGTTTACCGTACAGTACATTCGCAAAGTGTCAAGGGACATCCATCCGCGGAACGACTGTACACATTCACGAACGTTCGTGAAGCATGTTCTTCACCTCCACGGGATTTCATGGGCCTTCCAAAATATTGTAGAGCATTCGCAAGGGCATTCCATGGAATTTTTCGTTGAAGTGCGTGGACGTCCATGGGATTACGTGAAGAGGTCCCATGGAAGTGCACGCATGAAAAACGTACGAAACATGCTCTGAAGACTCGACCAGCAACCGTCAGGGCCGTCCGTTCTTCACAGCGATGTACCCTGCCAAAACCAGAAAATAAATGTAACCAACCCAGATAATAATTCGTTTTTCACTTAGAATTCATTTACCCCCCACGGAGGTGTATGATATATATTTTTACGCTCCCAAATTTCCAAATTGTCACTTCCGACCGTTGTGGACCTCGATTGGTGGCCGCGGAAAAAAAATGCAAGCGATATCACTCTCGAACGCTCGTC